TTGATGCTACATGGAGCTAAGGAGTAAACCAATCTGCACATGTAGGAAGGTTTCCAAGAAAACCCTGCAGTAAAGTGTTTTGGTTGTTTCCTTTAACAGTCATCATTCCTCTCCCAAGTCACAGAGAAGACCATATAGATGTACACCTTAAAGTTACTTTTTGAGGAGCTAGGAGAAAACAGCCCTTTTCTTTGCCTCAAAGAATTTAAATCTGCTTAGTTACATTAAGAAATAAAATTAAGGGTAGAGGGAAAATATAAGGCAAAACTATGTCACATTCTTAAACATCTACCATAACTTCAGATATAAATATCAGATTCTGATCTCACTAATACCTACTTTACTTCAATAATTTTGATAGTATTTCAGGACTGTACGAGGACAAGGCAACCTGATCTCATTAAAATTAAACCTCTCAAAAGCTGTTCAAATTACCTGTTTTCAAAGGTACATCATATATTGATGACAAAACCCTTGTGGTGTCCTAGTATAGGGCAGGAAGAAGTTGCTGTGCAAAGGCTCCACATGACCCAAGCTATATCCAAGCAAAAGTAACTCCATGGCTGTGACTTGGGCGTGATCCAATGATCAAAACCAGCATCAGCTGGTATTCCAGAGTATGGGCTGAAGCAGTCTACACCATCAATCCTCCTATTAAGTACAATTTTTATAAAAACTACACACCTCTTATCACTATCTCTACATTATTAACTAAACTGAGCTGAAACAAGAAGAGAAGTTTGCACTGAGAAGTTTGACTCCATTCACTCTCTATTTCTCAATATCATTTTTCCACCACATATTTTACAGGAAATAACTGCCACTATAATAGATCGCCATCTTCTTTTTTATGGAATATAAAAAATGTAGGCTACATCAGTGTTATCCTTCCTCCTCTTCACGATCTACTCTCAGTAAAAATACAGGGCATGCTTCTGAGACAGTTTACAAACATGTCTTGGCTTGAGAACAAAGTTAGTACCTCTCAGGAGCAATGATTAAAAGTTTTAAAACATATTTTAATTTGACTCAACTATCATTCATTACAAAAGCTTCTATTTATCTTGAAGTACAATAACATTAACTGAGAACTGCAAAGAATTTTTCAAAGAATGAAAGCCTAGAGAGAGAGTAGCCAAAGGTGCAAATGATCGGAATATTTTTTATTAATAAAATGGCAAAATAAAATAGTGTTCATATCGTGCATCTTCCTCCACTTAAGTCTGCAATAGTAGCAGTTACCACTGGCCTGATTCTGTGGCACGCTGAGGACTTCCCACAAAATGCTGAGCTTAAATTCTTTGTGATTATCTGATATCTTACCTAGAGCTTGTTCAAAGAATAAAGCTATGTGAAAAGCATATGTGAACTTCTGAAATGACAAACTAAAATCTTAGATACATAGATTACGTATACTGACCACTATGTTATCATAACATAACTGTGTAAAAATCCTTCTGATAGCTTATTGACTTAATGTAATTTAACTGACCCTTATTTGCTAAGATACTGTATAAGCCAGTGTTTGGAAAGAAGCCAAAAGAAAAAAAGAAGAAAGAGAGAGAAATCAGATTAAACTGCAAATCTTGGGTTGGCATAGGTTTAGCAAGCATTACAGAACATACAGAATGCAGAATGCAATACTATTTCTTGGAAAAACTAGTATTAAATGAAAGACAAATGCCTGAGCCAAACAAACTACATCTCTTTCAAATCCTAAATATTCTATCAGCAGCCACATGACAAAGAAGCAATATTAGGAAAAAAGTGTTCCACTGCTAAGCACCACTTTGTAACTGATACAAGAAGCATACCTGCAATTTTAATTTACTATTGATATTGCAAGTGAAGATGAAAGTTAAGATTCTCCAGTAAAAAAAATCACATCCTCTGACCTTAAACTGACAGTCCTATCTACCCTACCTTAACTGCAGCAGATGGTGAAAGAAGTCACTAAAATCCAGAACATTAGAATGAGACTAAGTAACACGGTAAGTGCAAATCTACCTACCTTGTCAAACTCCTCTCAGTATTCCACACCATTATTAATAAAATGCATTACATTATCTAATTACATACATATGAGCAGTCATTATCCTTAGTTTATTACTTCTGTAACTCTGCAGTTTAGGGATGTCAAGCAATGCCCCTCCAACACACATAACCAACACCAGCGCATGCCCATGCTGACCTCATCAAGCTGCTAGAGTTACCCTTTCACCATGAGCAAGTCACTACTATCCAAGTCAGCTCTAAAGAAAGACACTTTTCATAATCCCACAACAATCTGCTAAGTGAAACATATGGAGGGGTTTAGGTAAAGCCTGCAAGGATTCTTCGTTAAATGGAAAACAGGTGCTCCTGTTCTGTGTAATGTCCCATTTACTCTTAAGTCCAAAGGTCACAGGACTAATAGCTGCCTCATGGTAATCAGGGAGCCAAGACATTGGCCATGGTCAAACAGCTGGGATGTATTTTACATATTTGCATCATATGCTTCAGTTTCAATTAAAGTGAGGTTTTGGCACATTTATTATTCTTGTAACTTTCTTTGCATAAGAAGACCCATTTTCCTGAGTCTTCTATTATGCCATATGAAAAACACCGAGAGAAATAATAAAAGCCAGAGGCCATTATCAGCTGGTGTTACAAAATCTGCATTTGTTTTCTCATGAAACTTCATTTTGCACATAGCTTTAAGAAAATGCATACATGAACTAAAATAACACAAAAGTGCACCCTTCCATTTAGCCAAAAATATGTAACAGGAAGAGCAGTATGAGAGTATGTCTAGTACACCAAAAAGGAAAAACAGTCACTTAGCTTTGAACGACAAACAATTCAGTCCTAAGCATGTGCTTATAATTTACAACCCTTGTGTAAAATAACACACACTGCAAAACACACTGAATATAGGCGGTAGTCCACATATGCTTATTTTAAAAAGTGTAAGGTTTTTTCCCATTCAAACAGCATATTCAATCTTGAGAGCTCAAAACATTTGCAATAACGAAGACAGCTTTGAATTTATAAAAATCAACCTCAACACCTTCTGTATAGAAAGACAGCTCTTAAATATTCAATAAAAGGGCTCACTGAACACACATGGTAATGTCAGTACTCACTTTTATTCAACCTTGGTAACTAGATCTAGAAGAATCTTTGAACTCTAGTGTCAATTTGAGAAAGCTGAATATTTGATCACAACACTGAAATCTAGAGTGATATATCTAATTAGGTATGTTTTGCCTGGCGTTTGCTAATCACCAGAGAATTGGGGGGAGGGAGGGCTGACCCCCGCCCTCATCTTCCCCTTTAAAGGAGTTTGTTTAGCAATTTCCAAAACCCACTAAGCAGTAACTACCTAGGCTGGCTTAAACTACAAGCAGACAAGCACTACTCTTTCTGAACTAACCACAGTGATTAAAATATCCAGGAATACACACACTACCAGTATCATACATTTGCATCAGCTCTAATAATAAAGCAGAAAGAAACAGGAGAAAATGGCCTCAAATGGATGGTAGATCAGTGTTTATCTGAAAACAAATGATGATTCAAAGCCAGCATGTTGAGATAAAATACAAGCTCTTCACAGCTATATGATGGACCCTTGCAATAAATCATGTATTTTATTGCCAGAAGTGGATGCTCATATCATTTAGTGTTAAAAACCGTCACATATGTGTTTTGTAAAAGAAGGTCTTTGTTATTACAATGTTTGCTCATTCTGAAATTATGTAGCTAACAATTTAAGTGGTTTATAGAAGAATTTCACATAATAGCTTTCTGTCAATTTTAAAAGGTTTGATCTGGCAATGGAACAAGGAAAATAATCTTTTTTTAAATAATTTCTCATATTTTAGGTGTTGGCTAACAGAAAAATAATCATTCAGGGTATTAACTAATCATAGTGAATTTTCTGACATTTCAAATGCTGCTGCCAGCATATGAATTGTTATATTTTTCATATAAATGTATATCTCAGCCAGAAAAAAGGTCAAGAGCATAAATACACTGTTTTTCTCCTTTCGAAAAAAAAAATTGCTTTACTACAAGAGAAGTGGGGGGAACATCTGTGAAGGTCAAAATAATCTGAATTTTAATACAAAGTTGTTGTAAAACTATATTTTTCTTTTCTTCCACAAATACCACCTTTCTGATAGGAAAATACCAGCAACAAAGGGGCTGTCTTCACTGCACTTGTCTCACCAGAAAGCCATCCTGCCAGTGCTAGCCATTGCTTCAGTGGTGGAACGCCATTCTAATTTCTTTTCTCTGTTTTTTCCCTCTCCCTGGGGGACAACCAATCCAAGTAGTCTGATAGCTGGACTAAATGTGCAAAATGAGCTGTTATTCACTGTGGTTGCAATCCTCAACCCAATCAGCAGCCTCTAAACTGAACCGCATCCACTCAAATAGCTGAATGATCCCCCACAGTTTCCCACCTTGCAGGGCCACAATGCAAACTTCAGATCAAGTGGATGTCTAGAAGAATCGTGATTACTTAAGTAATGTCATATGGAGTGCAAAATGTTTAAGCCGTTCTCCCACCAAGTAATTCTTTGAAAATTTTAGATGTCAATATCCCAACTTTAACCCATATGGAGTTGGGATGATGTGGATTTCCACATCATTTTTCGCCTGAAGTGCAGCCCTATTTGTAATATTCAAGACAGGAGGAATTTTTGTCCTTCAAAAACAGTTGTTGCTGCAGTTATCTTCACAAGAGCTATCAAGTTCCAGACATGTTGAATTATTTTTGTTCCTGGCAGAAAAATATTTGACCCAGCTCTGGACTGGGAAAAAAAAAAAAAAGGCAGGATTTATAGACCTCTATCCTTTCCTGCAACACACTGTAGCATTATTAGGATGATAAACAGATCTGTCCAATTTTCTGGACTAAAACACTTCAACTCCTTTTTTAACTGTCGGTAAAAACAGTGTCATGTCTAAATTCTCCCATCCCCAGATACCCAAGTGCTAGGAAACATAATTACCTTGTCATCTCTGTCATCCTCTTCTTCCTCGTCCTCTAGCATGTCCTCCACTACCTGCAGACAGAAACAGTAGTAGTTGTCATGATTTAAAAAGGAAGAGTTTTGTTCTGTCAATTCTAAGCCTTTTGTAGATGAAAACTTTATTAACACTTGAAATAAATGCAGAGGGAAAATGTACAACCAGGAAAAAACACTTGATCTAAAGATTCAAATTTAGGAAGCATTATAGCTTTAATTGACCTACATTAGGGAATTATATACTGAAAATCCTTCCTGCACAAAATGCTTGCTTGACAATTTAAGTATTTAAAAGGTAGTTCAAAATTCAGTATATGCTTGCTTTAATTAAAGGAATCCTTTGTCAGCTCCACTGGTGCCTATGCAGCACACACATATGCTCACTTCAAATTTACTGTTACCTACATAAAAATGCAACCTTTTTAATAGAATTTACAGTATTCACTACGAGATTTTTGAAGAATACAAAGCTGGGAATAAATTCATAGTAGTTTATTTCCTTATAATCTTCAACAATTATATATTCCATATGCTCTATCAGCATTATCACTGTATTTCTTAATAGTAATTTTATACAATCTGTGCATTTAACTTTATGCACATTCATTGCTAGCTGCAGGTGCCACATATCTGCATCTGTGTATTTTTCCATATAAAGTTCTTCAGTCTAGCACTGGGAAATATACACATACACATTCAATTCATTCTACAAATATTATAATTATTAATCACACCATGAGCATGAAATGAACCACTAAATCTAGTTTACAGAAATTAAATGACTTTCCAAAGATGAGCAGTGGCAGATTCAGACTTAAAAGTCAAAAATCCTTCTCTCATGACACTGTGATCAATGACCCTAAGAGGAAAATTCTCTGTTGGTGGAATGAAAAAAAGCTGTACCTCCTTATAACCAGAAAATAATGTGCCTCTTCAGATCTTTATTTATATCTAAGTACATATCAGGATACAAGAAGTGCCATAATAAAGGTCAACAAAGATCCATCTAGCCCAGTGTCCCATTATGAATGCAAAAATCGTATACTACATCTTATAAAATATGCATAGAGTGGAAAAGAGAAGGAAAAACTCACTGATATGAAACAATAATAATTTGGCCTATTTTACAGACTTGCTGCCAACTAAAATGGTAGTTTACTACGTGATATAGGTGAAGCTACAAACAATTTTAGTGTACTTGTCATTTAAGACAACACATTAAAATTATGATTTCATAATCAGCCTCCAAACACAGATGTAAGGATATTCCCAAATCCATGTCCAAGAACTTAAGGGACTTTTACACTATCCTAGAGCCAAATTCAGGTAAGAGAAGAATGGAAAAATAAAAGTGGGTGTATTGGTTTCCTGTCTCAGCTCAAACATCAGGAAGGTCACAGTTAGTCACATTACATGGGCCCATGCAAAACATTAACAATGCACGGTTTGATGTAACATGCACATCTAGTAGAGCACTGTGCATACATGCAAGTCAACTGCACAGTTCAAAACGTTTCCAGTTTCAGCTGCTCCTCCTTGTTTGAACTCTGTTCCAAAACACCTCTGACAACAGTACTTTGGAGGGAAAGGAACGTCTAATTCTGTCTACTGCCTGCTCTGTCCTGGAGTTTAGAATCAAAGATAAAACTAGAAATACAAAGCAACCATAGAAAGTGAGCATGTCCAAAAGCATGAGGAGGAAGCATGACGCAAGCAATGAAGGAATTACTCTTGAATCCCTTCCTGCCCAGAACAACAATTTCAGCAGGAGGAGCCTGACTGACCGAACCTTCTGTAGCCTCTGACCTAATGCCAGCTAGGCAGGTGTACTTCTGAGTCCCCTCAGGCTGAAGAAGGAATCCAGGCTGTGCTCTAGCCACTATCCATAAAGAAGTCTCCCTCCTGTTCTTTGTAGGCCTTTTAGGCCAGGTCTGCTCCATTGCTCAAAAAAAGGGGACCAGAAACAGTGACAAGAGAGTTTTGGTCACAGGGAAATGTTGAGAGCACATTGCTCCCGCTTAGCTCAGTACACCATCTTACACATCCAATTTGGAAGTGTCTGAGAAGTCCTGTCTTCACTGACCTCCCTGTGAAAAAAAGGCATTTCCCATTTCCCATGCACCTATATCACCTTCTTGTCCCTTTCCTGGTAGCTGACTGTCATCTTCCCTGGCCTGTTCCAAATCTTTGGGGAGCTGAGTCATAAACTGCATCACTGGGCTGAGTTCTTCAAAAAACCGCATCTCAAACTTTTAATGCATTGACCCAGTTTACTAAGCAGCTTCAGGAACACTCCACCAGCTCTACCAAGAAAATGGCGAACTGAGAAGAGAGGACGAAAACAAACTGTTAAGGGCTGCAGCAAGATGGAAACCCTCTTAAATCAATTTTGCCACATGCAAAAAACCCACTTAACTACATCAGTAGCTGACCAAAGCCCAAGGTATAAAACAGATCTGTTGGCTCACATACTCCCTAACGCCTGGAGCTGACTAAACTCACTGAGTCTCTTACTTTTCAACATTAATATTCCCCAGACACTTAAAGATCTCTTTTATGTACATCCAGAAATTCCTTGTCTTGACAGGGTTGAATAGCTGAATGCCTATCTCACATTGGCATTAAAGTTAGCAATAGGACAATCAGTTGACTTGGAAATCTCTAAAATTATTGCAAATGATAGCGGAGAAATCACTTGCATGACAATACCTACTCTAAATTATCTGGATAATACTACTTCAGACTCAGTTGTTTTTTTTCTTCCACACCTAATGATCTCAAACTACTTTACAAGCTTCTGTAGGGTGGCAAAATGTTAACTTGTTCAAAGGGCATAAAAAGTCCTCTGAAATTACTTGAAGTATCAGACTAATCCCAGATTTCCAGATCCTCCATTCAATTTTTTAATTCAAAAGCCACTACTAGTTTATGGTCTTGTTCTAGGTTAGTCACATCATCAGTTACATTGAGATTTGGAGTACTGAATTGCTTGGAAAGAAAAACAGAATTCAGTTATTGTTGCAAAATAAAATGTAGTGAAAGTGTGCCAATGCCCAAGATTAACAAATAATTCTTTAAAGTATATGAAACATATACAGCCCATGCTTTCATGTGTCTTGAAATTCAAAAGGAAGAGCAGAAAGAGAAAAACCTGACACACATGAACATACAGACAATACAGACACAGTAATACAATTCATTAAACCACCAAAACAAGTGTTTTCAGAACTTTGCCACAAATTAAAACAAGGTAAGTAGATTCTTCATAGTCTTATGATATAGGAAGAAACACCCTGAAGCCTTATAAAAGCTGTATACTGAAGTACAGTCTACTTCTGCAGAACAAAGCAAGGCTATTGAAGAGAAGGATGGTGGATCTGAACACAGATTTTACTTCAACATTATAGTAGGAATGCGGTAGAAAAAAACCCCACAACGAAACTTTTTCTGCCTTGATTCTGCTTCGATTCTATTCAAATAAAGTGCACATGTGCCCCTCTGTTTTAAATGAACACAGTAGTTATTTGGATGTCTGCGTCAAGCATTGTACCTGGAGGAGGTATAATGGAGGGAGGGAGGAGATGGGGAAGGAGGGAGAGGAGAGAGAGGGTGGACAAGAAAAAGCGTATGAAGATAAAATAAAATGTTAGATTTATTTGAATAAAAGTTCTATGGTAAAAATCTTAGATTGCCCTGAGAATATTCACTCTAAATTATGCTTCTGATACCTTGCTTGCAATCAAGTAGTATTAATCAAACAAAGGAATGGCACTGGGGAAATCAGAAAGATCTAATGCAACCAGTTAAAAGTGACATGACCTTCTGCAATATCACTTGTCACAGACTTATATGCCACTGGTAGAAAGAAGGTCTTGAAAGAAACTGTTTCTTGGTACTGTCCCTTGAATGTAACGTGAATACAGATGACATTTTAAAAAACACACATAGATGGCCTCAAATATGGCACGTAAGCTATTTCACGGCCAAACAGTAACCAGATGATATTTAAATGTTGCAAAGTAAGATCCTTCCCCTGCAAAATAGCCCTATTTAAAGCTTATTAATCAGAAGCAGCGTGTAGTCTAATTCCTATGTACCACCATTATTCCTGTTCCATTCCCACCTTCTTTGAGAAACATAGGCCAAAAATACTGTATGACTCATAATCAACAACAGATTGGAGGAGTCACAGCAGACACCTTACACTAGGACCCCAGATGGAAGCACAGCCACCACATTTGCACACTGAAGAAAACCTCTGCATCTGTGGGGCAGAATTCTGTCTTCTGGGGAAGCTGACATTAAACACAACTTTATTCTAAGGAATTTATCTAAAGATCTACTGACTAACAAGATAGAATTTCTGATAAAATAATTGATTTTGACTTCTAACCTCAACACCTGCAAAGCAGGGTTGGATTCTAGTTATTTACAAGTGTGATGAATCAAAACCCACAAATGTAGAGAACTTAGAAATACCTCCTGAATCTAAAGAATCAATGGAAAAGCGACACACTGAAACTTAACACCATTTTTAATGAAAGGTCCTTCTCTCTTAGCATCAGCCCAATGTTTCTCATACAAAGTGTGCCAAGTCACTCCATTGTATTTGTTCTACATTTTTTGGCTGATCCAACAGAAACACTTGCATAGAAGATACTATGATGTCTTTACATGTTAATAATACCAGGCATCTGCTCAGCACTAAGATGTAAAATAAACAAAAGAAAAAAAAAAGAGGCACTATCTCTGCAGATAACCCTGATGACTGTTACCTTAACATTTTAACATGAAGTAATGCCCCCCAATTAGAACTTCTCTAGATCTGCTTTTATCTTACTTAATTCATATGAGAAAACAAAAGAGAGGACAAGATTTGGTTCCAAATTAAATGCACTTCAGATATGCAATGAATGTGTTCAGAATTGCATTGTTCAGGACTGTTCAGATTTAATGATAATTCATATTGTCCTGGCATAAAATTTTCTGTAAATTTGTGTGTCATGCAACTCAGGGTTTATGTGTAAATGTAATAT